TGTTTTACTCTGTAGCAGTTTTGCTTGTTATGTCTGTCTTCATCTTCTTGATATCTGGTCATAGTTTTTTCATTCCTTTAAAGGAGATTCTATACCATTTTTTAATTTTTTTCTTTTTTTCTTATGCTGAGCTCTCCAAGGTTGTCTTCCCCATACATTTCTTTAAAAAATTACCTATGAAGCCACCTGTGGTGGCACACACATGTAATCCCAGTGATATGGGGGGGGGGCTGAGATAGGAGAATCATAAGTTTGAGGTCATCTTGGTCAAATTAATGAGACACTCTCTCAAAATAAAAAATAAAATGGCTTGTGATATAGCTCAGTGGTAGAACATCCCTTGGCTTGAATCTCTAGTTCCTCCACCTCCAACTCGCATATGCAACTTACTAGATAAACATACACCCCTTGTACCATATAACATTATAATGGTATGTAAAGGAAAAGTTTCTTATTTATGATCTTGAGGCAAGCTTTAGCATATACTCCCACTATTTTTTATATTTCTAGAAATATTACATGTGATTTTTTACTTGTAAATGACATTATCCTTAAGCCAATTGAACAAATAATAGACCAGGAGAAATTAAAGACCAGGAGAAAATATTTGTACTTATTATATGTTGACTATGAGTTCTAATACCCTCCTACCAATTGAAAGAAAAAGATAATCGTTAGTAAAAGGGACCAAGGATATGAAGTTAAGTCACAGAAGAGGAAATATAAATGCCCAGCAAACTGAGTTTCCATTGGTAGTCAGAGAAATGCAGATAGAAATAACAATATGAGAGACTTTTCCTATCAGATTGGCAAAATTTAAAATGGCAATTTCCGATGAAGATAAAAGAAAATTGGCTCTTTTTTAATGTTGCTGGTGGAAGCTGCAACAACCTTTTAGCACATATTCTAGCAGTATCAAATGTTTTTGTTTTTCCTTTTACTGACTTATCTTAAGAATCTCTTTTATAGGAGCAAAAGCACCTACCCTTAAGAATACAGGTATAAAAGTATTTAATGCAACTTTATTGTTAATGGCAAGAAACAGACAAAAAATCCGGAATAATCTAAATGGCCACTGTTCTGGAAATCATTAAATTATGGTATATATAACTATTGATCATTAAATCATGGGGTTTTCCAGGTAGGAATTGATATATTATTACAATATGTATAATATTATATTTAAAAACATGGGGGTAAAGGAGGTGAACCCTACAGAGGAGTATCTTAATGTTTAAAACCAGTCATTTCTATAAACATCTGGTAAAACCTGTATGAAATTACCTTAACAAGGGCCACTCCTTCCTTTTAATCTGATTACTCCTTTTGTGTGTAGAGGGAGAAAAGGCTAAATATCAACTAGGTATCTCATGGACTTGTTTCACTGGTGTAACTCATGTCTTATCCTGGAAAAATAGCTAGAGGAGGCTAAGAATCATTGTTCTTTAGAGTATATTCCTGTGAATGGGCAGAAACTCCTGTAGCTATACAATTCATACAATTACAAATAATAAAAGTTACCATTCTCCTTTTCATATTTACTTTCATTAATACACATTTATTTTTCACTTTGTCAAATCAATGTCACTACTTTTATTTCCATGGGATTTTGAGGACATTTAGAATGCTTAATAAACCCTCTGAGTCAAATTTTAAAATTATAAATTTATCACTAACAATTATGCCTTCATAGAATTGAATTGACATAGAAAAATGTAACTTTTTTTATGGTGCTGGGAATTGAACTTAAGATCTTACATGTGCTAGGCAAGCACACTACCACTGAGCTACATCCTCAACCCTAGAAATATATAATAAGTGGGATGTATGGTTGCTGCTAATGTTTTTATTTCAATTGATATGAAACGAGTAGAGAACTAAAGTACATGATAATGTAGTCAACTTTAGGTACAAGTGCCTGAGTGAATGATGAGCATGAAAGTGGGTTGGTCATGAAAGATTCCTGTGAGGAAAAATAAGTGTTGAAGAGTTATTTTCCCTTCTTCCCTCCCTATTATTATTATTATTATTATTAATTTTTCAGTACTGGGGATTGAACTGTTGGGGGTCTATCACATGCTAGGTAAGTTTTCTACCACTGAGCTATATCCCTAACTGGTTCTAAAGAATTTGTTAGATATGAATGGGTGGCAGGATGATACTCTTATCTTGGATTCCTTTAATGGGTTAACTACTTACTTTCCACTAAGTGCAGTCTTCAACCAGAAATAATACTAGCTAATAATGAGGAAATTCTGAAAAATATGGTATTTTTGAAAATACAAATAAATTATTCAATTTCATTCTTAAAGCAGGGAGATCACTATTTATAATGTTTAGGCATAAGTCATATTTTAAAGTTGGTAAGCATTACTTTTGTTCTGGAAACTTAATATTTGACCAGGTCTCTAAATAAGGATTAGTGGAATTGGAAAACATTCACTTTAGGGATGATTTTTATGAAGAAAACCTAGTTAATACTCTTTCCTCATTTCCCTAATTCACAGGGATAAAATCACAATGATCTACGGATGGATAAGAATAGGTATATGGGATCCATGGTTCCTCTAGGAACTATTTCTCTGGTTTAGTGGCCATATAAATTTGTGCATCAGAATCATCTGGGCAAACCTGCTTTCCACTTTATAAGCAATTTAAAACAAACAAAAAAGTAGAACAGTATAACAAGTAGGAGAATATTTAGCAATACATATTCCAAAGCTTTATTAGACCTGCTGATTCAAACATGAAACCTGTTCAAAAACTAAATTCACATTCTGTCATGCCAGGCAGTTCTGATATTAGCTTATGTTTGGTTAGCATTATGTTATTGATACAGGTAACTTTGCTCTGGTAGATAAATGTCTCAAAACAAAGGCTATTTAAATGATTTATCTTGACCTATATTCACACCAACTCCTTATCTCTATACTTTCAGCATTGTCCTTAATTTTTGTAACCAAATAAAACTTGAGTAATAATTTAAGTGGCTTTTCATTAGTAGGACTTTTACTTTTAGATTTTTTTTTTTGATGTTTGAATATGAAATCAATGCTAAATGAAGCACTTTTTAAACAATATATTTTTTTAAATATTTATTTTTAGTTGTAGTTGCACATAATACCTTTATTTTATTTATTGTTTTTATGTGGTGGTGCTGAGGATTGAACTCAGGGCCTTGCACGTGCTAGGTGAGCACTCTACCCCTTAGCCACAATCCCAGCCCCAAATATTTTGTTTTTTAGTTGTAGTTGGATACAATACCTTTGTTTTATTTATTTTAGTTTCATATGGTGCTGAGGATCAAACCCAGCGCCTTGCATGTGCTAGGCAAGTGCTCTACAGCTGAGCCACAACCCCAGCCCTTAAATGAAGTAATTTAAAGTAATGCCTTGCATTGTAGAACTTTGACCAGAACTACCTTTTTTCCAACATTATCATCATATGTTCTTTCTGGTAACTGCCTTGTAAAGTGGTTAATTTCATCTCTGTTACATACATGGAAATAAGATTTACAAATGGGAATTGTACAGTTTCTTGTAACTGCAGTTGTAGAGTATGGAATGTCTGGAATGAATTTATAGTGATTTTGGAGACTCCTAGTAGATCTTTTTCCCTATTGTTTATTCCTAATAGTTTACTTTTCTTTGCTTTGTGTCAAATTGGATTACAGGTGACTTATTGTTGAGAATGCTGCTTTATAAAGACTATCAAATTAAGAAAAGTGACTCATCATTTTTAAAAAAATTATAATTAAGCTATAGAATGTTCTATGCCAGGGCAAGTTTTTTTCTTTTTTAATATGTTTAGTTGTAGAAGGACACAATACCTTTATTTATTTTATTTTATTTTTTAATATGCTGTTAGGGTTCGAACCCCAGTGCCTCATGTGTGCTAGGCAAGTGCTGTAGCACTGAGCCACAACCTCAGCCCCAGGACAATTTAAAAAAATCTTAGGTGAAATTCTTTGTTAAAGTATCACAGAAGTATTTTTTTTTTCTTTAAAATACTTATTCTAATTTTGTGTGTTTCATATATGATGCTTTTTTTTAGGTATGGATAGAATATCCAAATATCTGTGGCATAAATAATGACATTTGCTATCTTACAGGAGTTCTAGAAGAAGGTTGGCTAATTCAGTAACCCAGCATTTAGTGTAGTGGGGATCATCATTCTGATGATCATGGCCACACTTTGGCTGTGTTATGTCTAAGCAAAACACTCTTTCACAACAAAATCCAAAAGCAGGAAAGGAGAGCAGGGCCCTTCCCATCAATTTCTTTTAACTGGGTGGAAAATCTTTTCTTGTAATCACAGCAGGCTTTACTTTATGTCTTTATGTCACATTAGTCAGAATTGGTTGCATACCTGTTCCTAAATCAATTACTGATAAGAAGAAATGAGATTTCTATGATTGTCTTAGAATTGAAGGAGGGAGCCAACTATGTGATCTCCATGATGTCTCATATCATTTAACATATCAAACTGTTAGTGCTTTGTCATCACAATAGGGGGTAGACTGATAAGAAGAAATGAAATTTCCATGGTTGTCTTAGAGTTGAAGGAGCAGCCTAACTATGTGATCTTCATGATGTCTAATATCATTTAACATATCAAACTGTTAGTGCTTTGTCATCACAATAGGGGGTAGACTGATGGGTAGACAATCACTAGCATATGCCAGAATGTAGTTATATTGTGACAGTTTTAGATATACTACATATCAGGTATTCCTATGAAGAAAGTAAAATTTCAGTATATTGGCTTTTTTAAAGAAAAGCAGGTTCATTTGAGAAGCATGTTAATCCCATAAGTGCTACTTTGTGATGAACGCAGGGACCCAGTGGTTTGCTTCTGGTTGTTTAGCTCTTACTATACTTATTTTTGTCTTGGGTACAGTACTTGTTTATTTTCCTCTGATATGAAGGTCCAAAATGCTACTACATTATTTTGACAGTGGTTTCTGATTCTTTAAATTAATTTGTAATTGCTCTTCTTAGGTGGATTCTCCACAGTTTTTCTGGTGCGTACTAATGGTGGAGTTCGATGTGCATTGAAGAGAATGTATGTCAATAACATGCCAGACCTCAACATTTGTAAAAGGGAAATTACAATTATGGTAAGTAAAAAAGTAATTTTGTTTTAGAAATTTTGGGTCCGTCCTTCCTTCCTTCTTTCCTTCCTTCCTTCCTTCTTTCCTTCCTTCCTTCCTTCTTTCCTTCCTTCCTTCCTTTCCTAGAGTTTAAACCTAGGTCTTTGTGCATTTAAGGTAAACACACACTACCACTGAGCTACATCTCCAGCCCTTTTTATCTTTTATTTTGAGACAGAGTCTTGCTTAGTTACACAGGCTGGCCTCGAACTTGAGATTTTCCTGTGTCTGCCTTCAGAGTAGCTGGGATTATAGGCATGCACTACCATGCTTGGCTTAATTAAGTGTATTTTCTTCTGGGTTTTATATTGTGATGTTCATAAGCTTTTTAGGAAAACTGCTTATTAGTTTATGTGAATTTAGAAAACTTTTGAAGATCATTAAATCTGAAAATTATCTGGGAATTTATAGTTCATTCAATATAGCCATACTTAAAGCTAAATACAGCCAGCCTCATTCCCTCTTCTTTCCTCTGTTCTCTACTATAGGCTCAATAGCCAAACTATTCTTGTTTCTTTTTTCTTTTCTTATATTAATTTTACTTAGGGAATATTTTGGGGATAGAAAAATTTAGATAATTATGTAATAAGCACCATCATCCATTTTAAGAAATAAAACTTTACAGATACTGTTGGAGCCTTCTCTGTATTCCTCCCCATCTGTAGTCTTGTACTATTCTCATTCAAAAAGAAACCACTGTTTTGAATTTGTTATTTAACATTCCCATCATGTTTTAAACATTTAATGTATTTATTTATATTCGTAGACAATAATTAATTTTGCTTTTCATTTTAAAAACTATGTTGTAAAGTTGATTTTCTTGAGAACTCTGTACTTTATGATGAGGTTTCCTTCAGCAAGAGAGAATTTTTTTTTAAGTATTAGGAAAAGAAAAAAATTAATAGGCCATTAACAACTTCAATGACCCTTAGTTAACTTCATAGTTATAAATAATTATAAAAATTTCTTTTCCAGCATTGCTTATTCTCAGTGCTATGGATGACTGCTTATTCTTTTCTCACTTCTCTTCCTCTGTTGTTTATCAATTGCTTTTATGTGTACATGTACGTGTATGTGTATATTTTTGTCTTGAGGTGAAATTCACATAATATAAGTGAACATTTCAGTGGCATTTAGTACATTCACAGTATTGTACAACTATTGCTTCTATCTTATCCCCAAACCTTTCCAATATCCCAGAAGGAAACTCCCTACCATTGAGTAATTGCTCCCATTCTCCCTTTTCTCCAGTTTCTGACAAATACCCTTTTGTTTGTGAATCTCTGTGGATTTATTTGTTCTTTAAATTTTCTATAAATGGGAGTTTACAATGTGTGATCTTCTGTGTCTTCCTTTCACTTAGCATAATGTTTTTGAGGTTTCTGCCATTGTAGTGTGTATTAGTATTTCATTTCTTTTTTTGGCCAAATAATAGTCCATTGTATATATATGCCACAATTTGTTTATCCATTTATCTATTGATGGATTTAAAAAAATAATTTGATGGACATTTAGGCTGGTCTTATTTATTGTGAATAATAGGAATATGTGTAAACATTGATTTGTTTGAGTAGGTAGTTTTGGTATTTTGGATTATATACATGTAGGACTGGAATAGATGGTTGTATGGTAATTCTGTATTTAACTTTTTTTGTGTGTATGGTATGGTACTGGGGATTGAACTCAGGGCTTGGAACACAGGGCCTCATGCATGGTAGGTAAGCATGCTCTGTCACTGAGCTACATCTTCAGTCCTTTTTTTTTTATGCTTCATTTGAAAATATATTTGTTTTTTTTATTCTCAAATTCATATGATTTGTAAACAATAAGATCTTAATAACAATAATGTACAATTTGACATAATACTTTATGTCAAAAGTTTTCTTTGCTGCTCTGAATATAAAGGAAATAAAAATGAGAGCGGGGGGAAAAAAGAAAAGTGGAGAGCGAGCTTCCTCCCCTAATTACTCACAGACCCACTTTGAATTCAGAAAACTATTCTTCATGTTTCAAGTCCTTTTTATTTTCTTTTGAGACAGGGTCTCTGAGTTGCCCAGGCTGGCCTCAAACTCACAATCTTCCTTCCTTGCTCTCCTGAGTAGTTGGGATCATGGACATGTGCCATTATACTCAATTATGTGTTTAACTTTTTGAGGAACTGCCAAACTGTGTCTTTTTTGTGTGTGTATGTGTGTGTGTCCCCCCCCCCCCCCGCACACACTTCAAAATTTTTATTTAGAGACAGGGTCTCACTGAGTTGCTGAGTACCTCTTTAAGTTGCTGAGGCTTTGTATTTGCAATCCTCTTGCCTCAGCCTCCCAAGAGGCTGGGATTACAGGCGTGCACCACCATTCCTGGCCAGTATATTTTATTAATGTCAGTGTACTTGTTCAACACTAAAGAGGGGAATTTTTTTTTTCTTTTTTTCATGCTGGGGATCAAACCCAGGGCCTCATACATGTTAGGGAAAAGGAAAAGCTCCATCACTGAGCTTTTTAAATATTGAATCTAGAGACAAGGTCTTCCAGAGTTGCTTAATTCCTTGCTAAGTTGCTGAGGCTGGATTTGAACTCTCAATCCTCCTGCCTCATATTTATAAGTCTCCTGAGCCACTGGGATTGCAGGCATGTGCCACTGTGCCTGGCCACGATTTTTGTTTTCAGGTAAAGATATTTCAGAAGGGTGAAAAGGATTTATTCCAAGATAATGGTGAAGCCTAAACCAAATTCTCTAACTTGTGGCCAGATATTGTACTATTGTGCCATAATTCATCCTTTCACTAGAATTTTTATAATTCTATGCCTTTGAAGAATGTATTTTAAGAGAGATTAGCTCTTTGGAATGGTGATCTTCCAAATTTTTTTGATGACCCATTTCTCTGTATATTACTATTTATAAGTATTTATTAGTCTGTATTACATATTTATACGTTACTTATATGTTGTTTTAGTCAGCTTTTTCACTGTTGTGATTTAAAGACCTGACAAGAATAATTTTAAGGAGGAAACGTTTATTTTGAGGCTCACGGTTTCAGAGGTCTCAGTCCATAGATGGGTGACTCCATATCCTTAGGGCCTGACGTGAGTGAGACAGGATGTTATGACAGGGGTGGCTGAGGAAAGCAGCTCAGGACATGGAAACACAGAAGTGGAGAGAGTTCCACTCAACAAGGACAAAATATATACCTCTAAGGTACATCTCCAGTGACCCACCTTATATAGCCACACCCTACTTGTATACATACCCACTTAGTCTCTGGGAGAAGACTAATGCACAGATTAGGTTAAACCTCATAATTCAATCATTTCACCTCTGAACTTTCTGTGTTGTCTCACACATGAGCTTTCTCATATCTAAATGATAACACATATTTAGTGACCACTACCCCTTATCTGAAATTACATTGCATAATTTATTATTAATTACATTATATTGCATAGCTTATTATTAATGACAGTGGTTGTAAATTCATTTAAAATGGTATTCTTCATTATTGGGTTTTAGTTTCTAAATAGACTTGATTAGATTTTTGGAAGCGTGATAAGGGTAGTTGTTTTTGTTTTGTGATGCTGAGGATGGAACCCAGGGCCTTATGCATGATAGGCAAGCATTCTACAACTGAGCTACATCCCCAGCCCTGTTTTAAAATCATTGTATGCAGATGATTACCTTGCACCAGGGGTAGAGAATCCAGATTTGCCATTTTGTTGTTATTTTTAAAAATTACGTTATTGTGTTATTGGTGTTATCGTTAACCTTTGGGTACTTTTCACAACTTTTTGTACCTTAGTTCAGTTTTTAAGTTATTTAGTTAAAAGTACATGTAATAAATGTATGTACCCATATGTTTCAGTATGTTGCAGGCAAACAAATGAGAGTATTTCATTAATATTAGAACTTAATTATTGTTTTTTTAGTTAAAAATAAATTAAGTAACAGTTTTGATATTTTATTCTTGGGTCCCCCAAAACTTAATTGTAATAATAATACTATATTGTAATAATAATACTATTACTACTTTGGAAGCTTTCCTGATAGAAATTAAAAATAAGTATTTGTTGATTTTTTTTTTTTAATGAAATGACAGTCTCATACAAGTAAACTGCATCAAACTATAGAAGCTTTTGGCTGTTTGAAATACGTCAGATTTCATACTTATGCATTATTTTTACCTTTAGAAAATCATTAAATATGTTAATTTAGGCTTCAGACTGTTGCTAATGATACTGGTTTAATGTACATGTGGACATTTTCCAATTTAAAAGGTTTGTTTCTTTTTTACAGAAAGAGCTCTCTGGTCATAAAAATATTGTGGGCTATTTGGACTGTGCTGTTAATTCAATTAGCGATAATGTATGGGAAGTACTTATTCTGATGGAATATTGTCGAGGTAAGTATCTGTCTGCATTTATATTATACTAAAAAAAAATTCCTCTTGTATGAGTTACTAGGTATCTTGGTTTCTCCCAGGACAGCTTGTATCTGAGCATGGACATTTATTAATGCATCTTCTATTTTGATGGAAACTGCCCCCCCCCCCCCCCATTTTTTCTTATTTTGGATTAAGTTCTGTATATCAAAGAAAACATTTGACCTTTGACTTTTTGGATCTATCTTATCTTACTTAGTATGATAGTTTCCAGTTTCATCTATTTATTGGCAAATGCTATAATTTCATTCTTCTTTATGGCTAATAATCCATTGTGTATATATACTACATTTTCTTTATTTGTTTATCTGTTGAAGAGCACTTAGGTTGGTTCTATAGTTTGTCTATTGTGAATTGTGCTGCTATAAACATCAATGTGGCTATATCCCTATAGTATGCTAATTTTAGATCTTTTGGATTATACTGAGGAGTGTGATAGCTGGGTCATATGGTGATTCCATTTCTAGTTTTCTGAGGAATCTCTGTACTGCTTTCCAGGGTAGTTGCACTCCCACCAATAATTATGAGTGTACCTGTTTCCCCACATCCTTATCAGTATGTACTGTTGTTTGTATTCTTGTTAATTGCCATTCTGACTGGAGTGATATGAAATATTAATGCAGTTTTTATTTGCATTTCTCTAATTGCTAAAGTTGTTGATCATTTTTTTTCATATATTTGTTGCTATTTGTATTTTTTCTTTTGAGAACTGTCTGTTTAATTCTTTTGCCCATTTATTAGTTGGATTATTATTACTTTTTTTGATGTTAAGTTTTTTGAGTTCTTTATATATTCTGGATATTAATGCCCTATCTGTGGAGCAAGTGGCAAAGATGTTTTCTCGTTCTGTAGGCTCTCTCTTCACACTTTTGTTTCTTTTGATGTACCAGAAGCTTTTTAATTAGGTGCCATCCCAAATTTTGATTTTTTTTTTTTGTTTTATTTGTTGCACTTTAGGAGGCTTGGTCAGGATGTCAGTTCCTGTACCAACATGTTTGAGTATTTGGCGTATAGAGTTGCTGGTCTAATTTCTAGGTCTTTGATCTATTTTGAGTTGACATTTGTGCAGAGTGAGAGATATACTGGTCAAGTTTCATTTTTCTACTTATGGGTTTCTAGTTTTCTCAGCACTATTTGTTAAAAAGTCTGTCTTTTCTCCAGCTTATATTTTTGGCACCTTTGTCTTGGGTCAGATACCTGTATTTATGTGTGTTTGTTTCTGTGTCTTCAGTTTTATTCCAGTGTTTTTCATGTCTGTTTTGGTGCCATTACCATGCTGTTTTTGTTACTGTAGTACTGTAGTATAATTTGAAGTCCTGTATTGAGATGCTTCCAGCATTGCTCTTTTTGCTCAGGATTGCTTTGACTGGTCTGGGTCTCTTATTTTTCCAAATGAATTTTAGAACTTCTCTTTCTAGTTCTGTGAAGAATGTCATTGGTATTTTAATGGAGATTACATTGAATCTATATAATGCTTCTAGTAGTGTGGCTATTTTGACATTGTTTTTCTTATCTAAGAACATGGGAGGTCTTTCCCTTTTCTAAGGTCTTCTTCAGTTTCTTCTTTTAGTGTTCTATAGTTTTCATTGCAGAGCTCCTTTATTAGTTTAATTCCCAAGTATGTTAATTTTTTTGAGTTCATTTATGAATGGGATAGTTTTTCTAATTTCATTTTTCAGCAGATTCATTATTGGAGTATAGGAAACTGATTGATTTATGTATGTTGATCTTGTATCCTGCACTTTAAATTTATTTTTGTGTTCTAGAAGTCTTCTAGTGTAGTTTTTGGTATCTTCTAATTGTAGGATCATGTTGTCAGGAAACAGAGATAATTTGAACTCTTCTCTTTGTTTGTGTTCCTTTAATTTCCTTCTCTTTTCTGATTGCTTTGGCTACAGTTTTAAAACTATGATGAATGGGAGTGGTGAGAGTGGGCATTCTTGTCTTGTTCCTGTTTTTAGAGGAAATGCTTTCAGTTTTTCTTTGTAAAGTGTGATGTTGGCCTTGTGATTGTCCTGTTTAGCCTGTACAGTGTTGAAGTAAGTTTCTTCTATTCCTGGTTTCTCTAGTGTTTTAAATATGAATGGGTGCTCTTCTTTGTCAGTGCTTTTTCTGCATCTGTTGAAGTAATCATGTTATTGTTGTTGTTAACTCTATTTATGTGGTGAATTGCATTTATTTATTTTTGTATGTTGGACCAGCCTTACATCCCTGAGGTGAAACCCACTTGATCGTGGTTCACTATCTTTTAATGTTTTTTTGCATGTCATTTGGCAATATTTTATTAAGAATTTTTGCATCTATATTCATCAAAGATATTGGCCTGAGGTTTTCTTTCCTTGATATGTCTTTGGTTTTGGTATCAGGGTGATACTGGCTTCATGGAATGAATTTGGTAATGTCTCCAAATAAATGGAGCCTTGCTTCCTATCTTGTTGCTTAACTTGGATGAGGGATGGAGGAAGAAATCAGTCACCTGGCTTAAAGCAGTTCCAGTGATTCAGTCTTTGGATATTGAACAATGACCCCAAAGGTGGTTGGGGTCCTTGTTCTCACCCAGCAATAGGTTTCTCTGTGATAGGCCTGGTTCTCAGTTTTGACTCAAAGACCTGGACTTCATTCCTTCAATTCCTTCAAGCAGAAAGCACCTGTCTCCAGTCTGGGGATGGATGACCCCAGCAGCTCTTTCCTTCCTGCTTTTTCCAGCATATCTTTTCTTTTTGTTATAGTAAAACCAGGCACTGCAGTCTCTCACCTGGCTTCCTTAGCTTTTGTGAAGGTGGTTTATGATGTGTGAATATGGGTACAAATTGGTGTGTTTATGGGAAAAGGATTATTGGAGAGTCTCACTTAGCTGCCATTATGCTCTATCTATACTTACAATTTAATGTAATTGAATAAAAAATAATTATAAACCCACTTGAGTTTTATTGTCACCTGGAGGACTTTTTTCCTTTCTTTTTTATTGTGGTGGGCATTGAACTCAGCCTGCTAGGCAAGTGCACTACACTGAGTCACACCCCTAGTCCAGGAAGCATTTTAAAGAGGGAATTAAACGAGAATATTTATCTGATGTTTGAATCAGCAGGCTATATTTTATATGAATTTTAAAATTTTATCAAAGTAATATATGTATATGGTTTAAAAAATCAAATAGTTCTGTTAAACTATGGCTTATTCAGCAGCTTCCTTCCCCATCCCTCTCCTCAGATGCAGTGACTTTAAAATAAAGGAGATGTTTCTTCTCATAGTTTCTTTTATATTTGCACTATATTATGCAAGTGAGAACCAGTCGTTTTAGTGAAATTCTGAGAGTAAAAAAGAGAAGGAACTTAGAAAATCAAGAGTAGTATGTGATTCTGGGCAGGGGGGTTGTGGGGTGGGTTGTTCTTAAAAGAATGCTTGTTAAGCTGGGTGTGGTGGTGCACACCTGTGATTCCAGTGGTTCGGGAGGCTGAGACAGGAGGATCAAGACATGGAGGTGCTAAGCAACTCAGTGATACCCTGTCTCTATTGAAATACAAAATTAGGCTGGGGATGTGGCTCAGTGGTTGAGTGCCCCTGAGTTCAATCCCTGGTATCCTCCCACTCTGCCGCGCAGAATGCTTGTTAGTGCTGTTTCTAATTTATGCTTTAGATATTGTTTTCAAGATGAGGATTTACTCCTAGGGTAGTCTATGCTTACTTAGTTCATGGCCTAAATAAGTGTTTTAATTATTTTGTTTGCCATTTATGGATGACATGCAATAGTGTATAATTACATTTCCTTTCTTGTACAGCTTGTTTTTCCTGGAGTTAATAATTACCTCATTTTTCACGTGTCTGGTTTCTTCAAATATATTAGTATTTTACCCCACATTCTTTAATAGAAGTACAAATCATTATGAAGTATGTTTAAATATTTCAATACTTGTGTCAGTTTTGCTTTTTCCTTCCCTTCAAAACCTGCTTTGGGGAGACTTCAGTTCATATATTTTGGTGGGGTGTGGGGTAGAAGGATTGAACCCAGGAGTGCTTAACCACTGGGTCACATCCTCAGTCTTTTCTATTTTAAGGCAGGGTCTCACTAATTCGCTTAGAGCCTCACTAAGTTGCTGAGGCTGGCTTTGAACTCTTGATCCTCCTGCCTCAGCCTCCTGAGCCACTGGGATTACAGATGTGCACCACCACACCTGGCCACCTACTTAATTTTAAACAGTATTTAGTTGTCATTCTGGGAATTCCCCTTGACTTTCTTTTCTTAAATTCTCTGCTACTTATGCCTCCCCTTTGTTTACTCCCTCTTTTGGAAGAGTATATTTTTCGGTAACTTTCTGATAAAATGAATTTGGGAGGAAACATTCTTGAAACCTAAAATATATAAAAATATCAATATTCTGCATTCATATTTGGTTGCCAATTTGGCTGCCTAAAAGATTGTAGCTTAGAAATAATATTAATGCAAAACTGGGATGACATTATTATTTTTTCTCAGTATTGCTATTGAGAGGTCTGATGCTATTGTGATTCCTTAACTTTTTTTATGTGACCTCTTTTCTCCAAAGACACTTTTAATTAGAAACTTTCCTTTATCTTCAGCATATTGAAATTTCACAATTTATGTTCCTTCATTTGGGTATTTTTGGTAGCCCCCCTTTTTGTGGGACACTTTTTTTCTCTCGTTTTTTTTCTGTTCTGTTTCTGGACTGTTAATTTTTAAAGATGTCTGTCTTTATAAATTATTCTTTTGATTTTCTTTTCATCCTCATTTTATTTCTTTTTAAAAATTTTACTTTTGTTGGAAGCATTCCTTAATGTAGCTTTGAGTTCTTCTATAGAATTTTGTATTTTTGCCATTTTAATTTCTAAGAATCCTTTATTGATCTTTCAATGTTCTTTTGTTAAAATATACCTTGCTCTTATTTGAGATGCAAATCTTTTGATTTCTGTAGATATAAATTTTAATTTTTTGGGGGGAGGGCATAGTGCTAGAGATTGAACACATGGCCTCCTGCATGCTAGGCAAATGCTTCTGCCATTGAGCCACATACCCAGTCCCCTAAATTTTAGTTCTTAAAAATATATATTTTTTCTTCATGTCTCTAATCTCAGAAACTGAGAAGCTGAGCTCACAAGTTTGAGGCCAGCCTGGACAGCTGTGATGTAGCTCAGTGGTAGAGTACCCCTTGGGTTCAATCCCAAGTATCATAAAAACAGTGAAAAAAATTTTCTCTTTTCCTTTAATTTTAATTTTTTTTTCTGAAAATTTCCTATTGTTAACTATGCTTTCTTTTTTATGCAAGAAGTTTTTTTTTGTTTCAAATATTTCACTGGCTAAATTAGTATACTACATGTAGTACAGATCAGCATGTACCATCTGAATGGGCAGTTTTATTTTAGGAGAAGGATCCAGAAGCCTGAACTGAGTATGCTCTGTTCCTTTTTTCAGATTAATCAATTAGATAAGTTCCTTTTTCTCCCATGGGGGAGAAGTCATTTGGAGGAGCAGAGGATGAATATTCTTCTCTTCCTTTATAAAAGTCAGTTGTATGTTAAGAATGAAGGCACTTTTGTAAGGGAACCAATGTAATATAAATAGTTGGGTATATTGGTTTTGATTATGTTGGAATAAAACTATATAGGTAGTAGAAAAATGTGTTATATAACCAATATACCCTTATAAGTTTTCAGGTATCCATTGTTTAAAATAATTTCTTATGAAGTGTAATCATTTTTTGTCTCTGCAAATTTATAGTTTGCTACTGCTTAATTTGCCAATTTTCTGATATCCAGACTTCTAGAAATCTGTATTGGCCTTTTAAAAACATTTCTATTGTTTTATGAATAATGTATAAATAAATTATGAAAATTTATGAATTTAAAAATTTCTATTTTTAGGAGTTCTAAGTTCCTATGAATTATACATCTGCTAGTTTTTGCTTAATAACAAAGTATCTCCAAACTCAATAGCATAAAATAGTCATTTATTATTGCTTATCTATCTGTGGGCCAGCTGTTTTGGGTTGAATGTGGTGGGTGGCGCTGCTGATTTCAGCTGGGCTTGCTCACATGCCAGGTGCCAATCTGGGATAAGTTGAAGTAGCTTTGCTTCACATGTCTCTCATCCTCTTTCTGGCACTAGGAAGCTATTGATTTCCTCATAGAGATGGTAGAAACATAAGAGTGTATGCAGAAGCACATGAGTCCTCTTAAGGCCTACGCTTGGGACTAGGTATATTGCTACTTTTACTTTTTTCTCTTGGCAGAAGTAAATCACATGACTGAGCCTTAATCAAAGAGCAAGAGATGTTCTCTGCCTATTTTACTGGGAGGAGCAACGAATTACAGGGCAAAGATTATTGAAAAAGGGAAGGTTGAAGATTTGAATACAGTAATGCAATTTACTACTGTTAAAAATGAATAATTTCATAAGAAAGGCATTAAAATTTAAATGGAGTAATAGGTTTTACTTGAGGTTTTTAAATTGATAATAATTACACTCAGACATAAAGGTTATTGGACAACTTTAAGAGGTTAGAAAAATCTTGATTTTCTTATTAAGTTCAACAGAATGTAACATCTTTTGTTTAGGAGATAGTACTATTTGGAAAATCTGGATAGACTTGAGATCTACATGCACAGACCTTCAATGTGTAATCCTTGATTTCCAAATCTGATTTTTTTTTTTTTTACTGTTTTTCATCTGTTACTTAATTTTCACAAAACTCTGATTTTGAGTAAAAAAAATTTCTACATTTGAAATTTAACTCATATACAGTTTTAGTTATTATTGGGGACTTGGTTTTTGTGATTAAGGATTTCTACTTGAAAGATCTCTGTTGAGAAGAAAGGAAATTAACATTTGTTTACAATTATCCTGCATATTATAACACTATAAGAGGTGGAATGAGTTCAAGGTTATGATTTCTTTAGCTGTGAAGTGATATTTCAAGTTTGTGTATGAATATCAAGAACACATTTTTCTTCTGGTTTAATTTTTAGTTAAAACAGACTTTCCCTAGTTTAACAATAGACATCTGCCAAGGAAACTGCTGAACAAGGGAGTAAAGGAAGTTGCTGCCCACTTAGGTGTCTCTCAGTCTTCTGAGATAACCTGAACAAATTTTCCCTGAGTTTTCTGAAAAGTCAGGGATTCCCCCCCCCCCCCCCTTTGTCAGGCTGGGGATCTAACCCAGAGCTTTTATGCATGCTAGGCAAGAATGCTACCACCGATCTGTATCCCCACTCCAGGGATTCTTAAGTAAAAATTTTTTTTTTGTTTTTTTCTGCTTTAAAATTTCAAAAGAAAAGATAAAGACAAGAGATTGCTGTTTATATAGTAATAACAAAAGCAACAAATATACTTGTTGCTTTTTACAGATTGTAGAGTATCCAGCATTCATCCTTATTAAAAAAAATTTCAAGTTAATATAAACTTTATACTTTTTTAAATTCCCAAATTTGATTTTTATAGAATACTTCTTTATGAATCATATTTTTTCTATTCTTAAAATATAATGGTGGTTACTATCAGTTATCATAGTATATTATAATTTTCTCAAGGCTCAATGGTATATGTATGGCTGTTTGATTTTAGTCATTTCCTTAGACCTGTTATTTTTTTAACCTGCATTACAGATTTAGTGTCTTAGTTCATTTCTCCATTTCTTCTCTTTTGATTCCTCTACCCCATAATCAAGTAAATCTTTTAAAAAATCAGATCAGGAAGTTTCTTGGACTGTTAAGATAAAATACACAATCTGGCTATTCCTTGTCTGTCTTATCACTCTCCTCTTCCCACTCTCTCTGCTTCATAAACCGTGTGAGCTTTGACTTTTTTTTTTTTTTTTTAAGTTATTCATAGTCTTCAAAGCTCTTTCCCAAATCTGAGGTGCTTTTATATACAATTTACTATCACTAGTGTAGCATTCTCCTTAATCTCTGCCTCATTAATTCCTAATAGTTGTTAGGTCTTGACATAAATATTACTTCTTAGAGGAGCCTGATCTGATACCCTCTTCTTCCCATCCTCCTTCACCAATTAAAATAGTTTTTTTTATCTTAAATTTTCTTGTTTTTATTATATATATAAATGATTATGTATTTGTATAATTATTTATTTCTACCTTTGAATTGTAAATTCCATGATAATAATATAAACCTTATTTTTTATTTACCACAGTTTACGCAGTAAGTAGCACAGTATTGAATAACTTCTGCTTCACATCAAATATATCATCAATTATAAAGAAAACTGCAATTTCAGTGATGTTAAAATATTAAAAAATGGGCAATATTATTATTGTATATCATCTATCATAATATGTTCTGATCTTTGAGTTGTAAAATACAAAAAATGTAATTAAATCAATACAATATGATATAACAAGCATTCTTACATGAGAATTATGAAAAAGCCAATTTCTCATTACCTGAGATCATAAAGGCATTTAATTTTTTTGTTTGTGGTAGATTTCATTTATTAAAAAATATGAAAATGACTTTTTTGCTTAGCCGGGCAGGTAGTGAATCAGATGAATAAGAAACTGCAGACAGGTTTTACAGAACCAGAAGTGTTACAGATATTCTGTGATACCTGTGAAGCTGTTGCAAGGTTGCATCAGTGTAAGACTCCTATAATTCACCGGGATCTGAAGGTAAGAATTTTAAAATACTAAGAGTAATCTGTTCTAGACTTTGGAGTTAAAATGTTCTTGGACTGTCCTCAACTAAACTAGCCCCCCCCCCCCCCCCCACCCCATACACACCTTTTCTTTTGCAGTGCTGGGGATGAACCTGGGGCCTGCCTCATCTGTGCTAGGCAAGTGCTCTACTTCTGAGCTATATCCCCAGCCCTAAACAAGGTTTTATTACTAGTACTGAGATTGGTCTCTCTGTCTCCTTACACATTTCCTGAGGTCAAGTCAAGGACCCAGCAGTAGATTTGAAATTGAGATACACATGCTCCTATTCTGCATCTCCTATTCTCAGAGTAGCCTCCTTTAAAAGGTTTCATTTGAACAAAAACATGAATGTCACTGACTTACATTGAGTGTCCCTCCACACTGTTCTCTTTCAGTTCAGTATTCCTCTTATTTTCTATATTCTATATTAAGCCTCAGGGTGTTTTCAAGAGTAGACTATAAATACATCTCTTTTCCCATTTATTTGTAATTTACTATTGTTTTCTATGATTTACTGTGATTTGTGGTGATTGTCCTTGAGGTCACTTCATTTTACCTTCTCTTGGACTCTTGACCCCTTATATTTGGTACTCCCTTGTTAAATTGAAAAAATAATTCTCCAAGGGAAATGAACATTCCTGGAGATATCATTTAGATAGATGATCGTTAGACATGTCATTTCGAACCATAAGTGTCATCTTTGATGACAGACACAAAGATTATGAATATCACTCAGGTTCCTGAGTTAGATATGTAGCTCAATTGTAGAATGATTGCCTAGCAGGTGAGAGGCCCTGGGTTCTGTCCCTAGCACTGCAAAATATAAAAACTTCCTGAAGTGTTTCATGCTTATATATTACTATGGTTACCCTTTCCCCTCATTCAAGTATGCCCACATCAGCTCAGTGAGTTATGTGCTGAGTCGCTTTGTTTATAATTGAAGTCTAAGGCTGTTACTATCTGTTCTGCCTTTTATTAGCAATTATACTTTATAAGATTTTGTGTAATTTGCTTATGAGTTATGCTTATTATTTATTGTCTATCTTCTCCTGCTAGAATGTCGCTCCTTGAAGTTAGAGCTTTTTGTTTTTTTCTTCTCAGTGGTGAAACTGTGCATTTAAAACAGTGTCTGGTACATAGCAGAGTCTTATCAACTGTTTAATGAGTGAATGAATCCTGATTCTGATTATACAGAATTTTATAAAAGATGATTATAAAATGGTCTTAAGATAAAAGAGAATAGAAGATGTAACTTAGAATATAGGTTGTTAATCATGAAAGCATCATCCAAAAAATACTTATGGTAATAGAAGGTAATTCAAAGCAGAATTGAAATGTATTATTTCAGACTTCTGTCCCTTAATCTGGATAATTAGTATAGCTCATCTCAGTTCTTTTGAATATGTAAATTTAACATATCCTCTAGTAATTTGGTGTGGTTTTTTTTTTTTTTTTTTGGTGCTGTCATAACTCATTATCTTTTTGTGTACAAAACTTATAGTTTTAGTTGAGTCTTGATTTAAAATTCAGGAAACATTGTTTTAGTTAATACATTTCTGATCTCCCAGTTAAGGTACAAAGTCAGGTTTGTGTTTTTCAGTGTAATATTTTAAGTAAAAACAGTACTGCAAGTTGAGCATTCCTGCTCAGAAAATCCAAAACTTGAAATACTTCACAGTCTGAAATTTTTGGTGTGTTAACATGATGCCCCAAGTGGAAAATCATATACCTTACCACATTTGGTATACTGCAGTCAAAATTCAGGCTCATTGAAAATATTGTATAAAATTATAGTCAGACTATATGTGTAAGATGAAACATAAATGAATTTTGTTCTTAGATCTGAGTCCCATCCCTAAGGTATCTTATTATACATATGCAAATATCCCCACCTCCACAGTACAAAATCTGAGACTCTTCCACTCTTAGTCATTTTAGATAAGGGATACTAAATCATATCATACTTAGCATGATATTCTCTGTAGGAGTTAATTAGAGTAGAATTTAAGTGTTTTTCATCTGCTTGTCTACAGATAGGCTGAATTTTTAAAAGAACAGAAGAAAAAGTGAGGTACAGTTAAAGGCAGACTAAGGGTTTCTTGACCCCTACACAAACTATCCTGGGGTGGAGAAAGTAATTAATTGTTCTTAATAAAAGAAGTAATAGAAATAGTAAAGTATATTTTTGTTCTGGTTCATTTGTCCAGATAATTTGAAGTATCTTATGTCTCACGTCTCTATATATACTTTTGTGTGTGTGTGTGTGTGTGTGTGTAAATGAATGATACAGACCCTCCATTATGAAAGGATTGAAAAAAAGATAATTTTGACTTTGAAAATACTAATTATTGATTTTCTTTTATTAAGGTAGAAAATATTTTGTTAAATGATGGTGGAAATTACGTACTTTGTGACTTTGGCAGTGCCACTAATAAATTTCTTAATCCTCAAAAGGATGGAGTTAATGTAGTAGAAGAAGAAATTAAAAAGTAAGTATTTATCCTCATTATATTTTGTCTCATGTCAATTTTGGTTAACTTGAGTCTGTGACCAGTTATGTTAATGCAAACTGTAGATCTTTCATTTATAGATTTCTTAAAAAATATTTTTTTAAATTAAAAAATAATTGGTATATTAAAATTATTATTTCTTCTTTAATTAGTTATATATGCAGCAGAATGCATTTCAATTCATTGTACACAAATGGAGCACAACTCTTCATTTCTCTAGTTGTACACTATGTAGAGTCACACCACATGTGTGCAGTCATATGTATTCCTAGGGTAATGATGTTCATCTCATTGTACCACCTTTCCTTCCCATGCCCCTTCCCCTTCCCTACCTCCCCTTTGCCCAAATCAAAGTTCCTCCATTTTCCCCCAAGCTGCTCGCCCCCTACCCCTTCCTGCTTATGAGTCAGCATGTCTACTTATCAGAGAGAACATTTGGCCTTTGGTTTTTTGGGATTGGCTTACTTTGCTTAGCATGATATTCTCGAATTCCATTTATTTACCTGCAAATGCCATAATTTTATTTTCTTTTAATGCTGAGTAATATTCCATTGTGTATATGTACCACAGTTTCTTTATCCATTTGTCTGTTGAAGGGTACCTAGGTTGGTCCCACAGGTTAGCTATTGTGAATTGAGCTGCTGTGAACATTGTTATGGCTGCATCACTATAGTATACTGATTTTAAGCCCTTTGGGGATAGACTGAGGAGTGGGATAGCTGGGTCAAATGGTGGTTCCATTCCACATTTTCTAAGGCATTCCATATTGCTTTCCAGAGTGGTTGTACCAGTTTGCAGTGCCACCTGCAATGTATGAGTATACCTTTTTTTCCCACATCCTCGCCAATACTCATTATTGCTTATATTCTTGATAATTACCATTCTGACTGGAGTGAGATGAAATCTCAGTGCAGTTTACTGCCTGTTGGATATTTTATTTCTTGCTTTTACATTTTGAGGTATAGTTTAGGTTTACCTGAATTTTGCTGACTGATTCAAATTTTGTGATGAATGGAAAGCTCATTTGATGTTCTCATGTTTTGGGCTTAGTTGAGGATATATTAGGTCTTCAATTCATTCAGTTAACTATTCATTTATTCAGGGCCAACACTGTTCTTGGTGCTGGGGTGTAGTAGTGAACAACAAATCTGCTGTTATGCAGTTCATATTCTGGTTTCATAGGTCATTCCTCTGTGGTACTGTCATTCAGACTGTCTGACCAATCAGGGTAATATGGAAAAACTAATATGGTAGAGTTTTAAGATACTTCTAAAATAAAATATATAAACGCTCAAAGTGAATCTTGTCATGATATAGGAAGTCCATATTCTGATAATGCTGCCATGAGATTTGAAATATATATACACGCATATATATGTAGGTATGTATGTATATATATATATATATATACACACACACACACACATATACATATACACATACATATACACACGCACACACATACATATATATATAGTACTGGGGATTGAACTCATGAGCATTAAGGGCACTGAACCACTGAGCCATATCCCCAGCCCTATTTTGTATTTTATTTAGAGATAGCTCACTGAGTTGCTTAGCGCCTCGCTTTTGCTGAGGCTAGCTTTGAACTCTAGATCCTCCTGCTTCAGCCTCCTTAGCCCCTGGGATTACAGGGTCCGCCTTTCATTATTTCCTTAATGTTAATCCTAGGCTGGAATGATATTTCATTAAAGTAATCTGTTCTCAGTGGATTTGGGGTTTTTATATTTGTAAACAGTGGCAGTTGGTATTAGAAGTATACATAATATGTGTATTTAGAATTATGACAACTAGATTACTTTTAAAACAATTTTTATAAAACACTTGAACATTTGCTACATATGTAAGAAATTATATTAGCATTCATATAAACAACTCCTTAAATATATAAAGTAAATTTTTAAGAGGATAGAAGTTTTACTTTTAATATACCAGATATGGTACTATTATAGTCAAATTGTATTATTTCACATAAATTCAAGAGAAATTATTTCTAGTTCCACCATCATTAAGATTTTTATAATAAAATAAATTAGGCTTTTTGGAGATTTGTACTTGTTGAATGAAAAGTCTTTAGTTGCTTTATATTGTTTAATCTTTAATGGGTTTTTAATAAACTTTAATAAATAGTATCATTTCTATATAATGTTACTGAACTTCAAAGGTTTTTTGTAGTATCTTATAGAGAAACAATGTATCATTATTTTTAATATCTCCATTTTATTTGTTTACTGCCAGGTATACGACTCTGTCATACAGAGCCCCTGAAATGATCAACCTTTATGGAGGGAAACCCATTACTACCAAGGCTGATATCTGGGTAAGGTGAAGAAAGACTGAAATTTGGTCTAACCATATATAAAATTTGATTTTAATTGACTATTTTCCTGTTGCCTCCAAAAAGGCATTACCTAAGAGCAGACAAAACTGGTATACAAGAGAGTTTCTTACTCAGGAGAAGAAAAATACTAGAACTCTTTGATCTTCTGAATCCTCAGATGGAAAACTTATATATAAAAAAAAACAAAGAACTTACATATAACGTATCTGTTTATCATAGTAAACAGATTGTTTACTTTTTTTCGATTGAGTGGAAATTTTAGTTGGTCACATTACAGAAAAAGCTGAAAATAACTCTTTTAAGTAATGACAAAATAATTTTTCAGGTTACTTTAGGATCCTTTTAATGGAAGCTGATATGAGAAACTTTTTTTCTCTAATTCTAAACATCCCCTTTTACTGTATTGAAATTATTATTGGCATAGTTGTCTAGATTACATTCATTATTGAGAAAGATTTTGTTTTTCATAGTTGAACTTTATATTAGAATTGCAACATCTTTTTAGAATTTAAACGCTATTTTAAATGTTCATTCACTTAAACTTAATGATTATTTAGTCATATTTACTTCTAAGGAGCCTGTTGGGAATAGAGGAATATAATTCTTTGAAGTAGTTCTAGGAGTTATGAAAAAGGTCAGATTTAATTTGTTTTTAAAACATGTTCATAAAGTAGTCAATTGTAATATGCGAAATCAAATTATTATCTTCTGAATTTTTCTTCCCTGTTCTCTCCCTATTGGGATTCGAGTACCAAGCAAAATCTTAAGGGTTAGGTATTATTAGAAGGTAATAAAAAAATCATTGATATCTTTTAATTTGTTTATGTAACATATACATTCTCACTAAACAGTTAACTCTTGTGATTGTTGAATTTTAAGATATATATATATATATATATATATATATATATATATATATATAAAATAAAATTCAAGTAAAATTGCAAGTAAGTTCTGTTTAGTTAATGTAATAGTATACTGGTATATATAATTCAAATTTGATTTGCTTTCCCTAGGATTAACATTTGGCTCATTGGATGGCTTATATTAAAATTGAGGTTTATGTATAAGGTAGAAAGTAAATTAAATTGAATCTTAATTTATATAATGAAAATATTATAAGAGGTGATTGGTGTACTCATTTTTTTGGCATACTTTTGTGACTGTTCAATTTCACGTTATCTGAAATAAGTATTTTGACAGCAGTTAAACAATAGGCATCATAACTCCTATATTGAAACCATTCTTGGTTATTAAGACAAAAATATTGTTCTCCTAGCACACAATTATTATCCAGTATTTTGACACGAAGGAGGAATCCTTGTTTTGTGGTTACTTATTTTTTTGTTAAGACTTAATGCACATTTTTAATACACATTTTAATACACTTTTTTGTTAAGACTTAATACATATACAAATAAAAAACAAACATGAAAAATAATAAGAAAATAGTATCTATGGTCATATGATTGAAAAATTTAGAATTTTAATTTCCATGATGACTTTTTTTATGGTTACCTTACTTAGCTCAGGTTGAACTGAAATATGCTGCATTTTAGGTGTAAAAATATTTAATTAGGTGTGAAATAGTATTTAGGTGTGAAAAAATATTCAATTTATATTGGTTAAGAATTATATTTTTTATACTACTTCAGGATAGTGTTGACTCAGATAATTATAATGTCAAGTTAAAGTATTAACTTAGCATGTCATATTTTGCAAAAAAAAATTTTCCTTGGAAGTTTTCTTTGTAGGTTATTTTTATTTTGAAATCTTGAATGCTGATTTTATTAAGTGTTAGAAAATTCAGTTAGAGATCCTTCATGTACCTATTAATGTAGAAACTGAAGATGGTGGTCTGCCTTCAAAATTAGGTTTCTTGTTTCCTTCCTTTTCTTTTATAATTCTCATTGTATTAAATGGAAATATCTTTGGTGTCAAACAGTTAGAATACCTCATTGTGTTCATGCTTTACAAAGCAAGTGTTCAGGTTCACATTTGTAAATTATACTAGCATTGCCAAGGTATCTGGTATTCTCAGCAATGTGTGTTCTAATATACATGAGAATTGCTAAAGATTTTATTGACATGATAAAACTCTCTGAAGTATAGATCTCCTTTGCCTTGACCATCATCTGGACAGTGGAAAGAAGATATAATTTAATGCAGATTCTACTCCTTAATACTATTTTCTTTTTTAGTGCTATTAAGGAAGTCTTATTTTTGGTTTTCTATGTACTTTTTAAACTGTCTACCTTATGGATAAATAAAAAACCAAAATAAATCTTTTTTAAGTATATTGAACTAATTATTTCTATTTAGAAATCTTTACAGTTTTGTTAGTCATACAATAACTCAGTAATGTTTTGAACCAATATGTTGAAATTTCTTTTTTTCCACATTTTTTTATTGGTGTATTATAGTTGTACATAATGATGGGATTTGTTGTTACATATTCATACATGCACACAGTATAACAATGAAATTTGGCTAATATCACTCATCAACACTTTCCCCTCCCTTCCCACCTGTCATCCTTTAAGTCCCTTTTCTTTACTGATTTCCCGTTGATTTTCATGAGATCCATCTCTACCTTTCTTTTCCTTTTTCCTCTTTAGCTTCCACATATGAGAGAAGACACATGAACCTTCATGTTTTGAGTTTGACTTATTTCACTTAACATAATGGTCTCTAGTTCCATTCATTTTCCTGCAAATGAAATGACATAATTTCATTTTTTATTGTGACTAAACAAAACTCCATTGTATATGTATACCACATATTCTTTATTCATTCTTCCATTAATGGACACCTAGACTGGTTCCATAGTTTGGCTATTGTGAATTAACACTGTTGCTGTAAACATGGATATGCATGTATCACTGTGGTATGATGACTTTAATTCTTCAGGATAAATACCTAGAAGTGGTATAGTTGGGTCATATGGTGGTTCCATGCCTAGTCTTTTGAGGAACTGCCGAATTGATTTCCGGAGTGGTTGTTAGTACAATCCCACCAACAGTGTAAAAGTATTTATTTTTTTCTCTACATCCTTTCTAGTCTTTATTATTATTTGTATAATTCTTTTTTAATATGAACACAATATCTTTATTTTACTTATTTATTTATTTTATATGGTGCTGAGGATTGAACCCAGTACCTTATAAGTATGAGGCAAGCGCTCTACCTCTGAGCTATAACCCCAGCTCCATATTGTATAATTCTTGATAACTGCCATTCTGACTGGTGTGAGATAAATCTCAGTATAGTTTTGATTTGGTTTTTCTTAATTGCTACTGATATTGAACATCTTTTCATGTAATTGCCATTAGTATTTATTCTTTTGGGAAGAAAAAGAAATTCATTTGTCTTAATTGGATTATTTGATAGTTTTTGGTGTTAAACTTTTTTGAGTTTTTTATATATTCTAGATATTAGCACTCTGTCAGAAGAATAGTTAGCAAAGATTTTCTCCCATTCTATAGGTTCTCTCTTCACATTCCTAATTGTTTTCTTTGCTGTGCAGAAGGTGTTTAACTTGATGTCATCCCGTTTATTAACTCTTGATATTATTTCCTGATCTTTAGGGGTCTCTTTTTTCCTTCTCTTGCCTAATTGTTCTGGCTAGAATTTTTAGCAGTATATTAAATAGGAGTGATGAGAGTGGACATCTTTGTATTGTCACAGATTTTAAAGTAAATACTTTCAATTTTTTTCCCATTTACTATGAGGTTGACTTTGGGCATTTATGATGGGCATTTATATAAGCTTTATGATGTTGAGGTAGATTTCTTCAATCCCTAGTTTCTTCAGTGTGTTTGTCATGAATGGGTGCTAAATTTTATTAAAGGCCTTTGCATTAAACTTATTATATTTATTGATTAGTGTAGATTAAACCATCCTTACATCTTTGGAATAAAACCAACTTGATCATGGTGTACAATCTTAATATGTTGTTGAACATGATTTACTAATATTAAGTATTTTTGCATCTAAGTTCATCAGGGATATTGTTCTGTAGTTTTCTGTCCTTGATGTATCCTTATCTGGTTTTGATATGAGTAAGATACTGGCTTCATAGAATGAATGTGGAAGTGTTCCATCCCTTTCTATTTCATGGAATAATTTGAGGAGTATTGACATTAGTTCTTCTTTAAAGGTTTTGTAGAATTCTGCTGAGAATCTGTCTGGTCCTGGACTTTGGTTTGTTGGAAGGGTTTTTATTACTGCTCTATCTCATTATGAGTTATTGGTCTGTTTAGGTTTTCTATGTCCTCTTGATGTAGTTTTGGCAGATTGTATTCATCTAGAAAAATATCCATTTCTTCTAGGTTTTCAATGATCCTCTGTATTTCTGTGAGGTCTGTGGTGTTTTCCTTTTTTATTTCTAATTTTATTAATTTGGGTTTTTTTCTCTTATGTTTTGGTTAGTTTGGCTAAGGGCTTATCAATCTTATTTTCAAAGAACCAATTCTTTGTTTCACTGATGCTTTGTCTTGTTTTTTTATTCTCAGGTTGATTGATTTGCCTTTGATTTAATTATTTCCTTTTACTAGTTTTGGAATTGGTTCCTCTCTTTTAAGGGACTTTGAGATATATCAGTAGGTTCACATTTTCTTAAGTAGGTACTCAGCTATAAACCTTCCTCTTGGAATTGCCTTCATAGTGTCATATTTTTTAACACTATTCTTATTTGAGTCTAAAGAGTTTTTTAATTTTTAGTTTTGTTGTGTTGATTTCTAATTTATTCCATTGTGATCTGTTAAGATGCAAGGAATTATATTAATTTTTCTTTGTATTTGGTAAGAATTGCTTTGTGGCGTAAAATATGTTCAACCAATATATTGAAATTTCTAGAGCTTTTAACCTTTTTTCATTAGAATACTGTTGGTATAGTGAAAATGTTTTATAAATTAATATTGTTAAACTCAAAAGGTGTTTCTATATAATGCCATCTTCATAGCAGTTAAGTAATTTGTATATTTGTTGCTTAGTTTGTGCTTTTTTAGGTAGATATGTGGAGGGAAATCCAACAAAGGGAATCTTATTTGCTACTTTATAGATATAAGGCCAGACTTATACAATTAGCTTAGAATAGGAAATGCCCCTGTCATTCTTAATTAAGGCTTGGAGGTGACACTTTTTATGATGGTTATGATTTTTGGAGCCAGAAATCTTTTTTCTTTTTAAAATATTTCTTGGGTTTGAGAGGAGCTGCTGTTCTAGACACAATTTGTGTTTTAATTTTGCCTTTATTGTCAGTAAATAGATTCGTTGGTCTGGTGATATTTGTGAATATCACCAGATATTGGTGATATCTTGCAAGCTATGCAGACATAATCATTTGTTTTTAATATTGCAAATATAATTGGTATAAGATTCAATAAACTACACAGAAATAGAGATCTAATTTCTATAGTATGAAATAATGACATAGGTACCTAGTAAATAATCAATAAAATTAATTGATGACTGTTAAGTTTGCAGTGGCTAACATGTATTTGGAATCCTAAGATTTAAAATTCTGTTTTATAGTGAAATTAAAAAAAGTTTCTGTTAGAGCTTTGTGCTTACTTTCTTGGTTATAGCTGTAGTTATATTTATATTTTTCCTTGTGGAAGAAACAGTAGATTTAATATTAAAAATGTATGTTTTTTCCCAAAAAAGGAATCGGCTACGTCAAATTTTAAGTTATATCATTCATGATCTAGAGCAGTTTAACCAATTTGTCACAGGTGTAAAAGAAAAACACGGAGATGATTAAGTTAAATGTCTTTTAAAAAGAAGTAGAATGCATTAACTTGTTTAAGCAATAATTTGTGGAAAGATTGATTCAATATGGAAGCATTAGAGTTTTTATTTTTTAAATAACATTCAATATTTGGTTTTGAGCTGTTTTAATATTTTGGGGTTGATAATTGAGCTGTAATAATGTTCATGCTTCTTTTTTTTTGCAGGCCCTGGGATGTTTACTATATAAACTTTGTTTCTTCACTCTTCCTTTTGGTGATAGTCAGGTTGCTATCTGTGATGGCAGCTTTACCATCCCAGATAATTCTCGCTACTCCCACAACATACATTGCTTAATAAGTAAGTACTTGGAAAAATATGTGAAAAAATTATTATTTTTTTTTAGTATCCTGTTATTTACATACTTTTGCTTAAACCTTGCCTTTTAATTTCATGTGTTTTAATTTTGTGAAACTGTAGTATAAAGAAAAAGTACCTAAAATATGTTAATATGACTTTTATAGGAATGAAAGCAGTGTAACTATTGATTAATATGAGGATATATTTTTAAGCCCATAGGTAAGGTTTTAGTAGCATACAACAGAAATTATATGATTAAGGCAACTGGAATTTTGGGGAGCACTTACATTTGTTTAGTTTCTATACTTTTGAAATCAGTTATCCAGAGCTATTGATTCTTTAGTTGAAAACATTACTAATTTTAGACTGTAGTTTATTTTGCCACCTTTTATAAATACCTATACTTTATTAATGTATAGGTAAATACAAAGCAACCAAGGAATATCAGAAAGGTGCAGGCCTTCCATTCCAAAAGAATACTTCAGTTTTTTTTCTAGCTGCTTTTAAGATTTTTTTCCTTCCCTTTAGATAGATATTGTTTTTTAACATTTAATATATGTACATGGTAAAAATTTGGGAAAAGATACTGTAAGATACATGCATTTTTAGATTGCATGATACAGATAGAGTTCAATTCAGTAAAAAAAAAATATGTGGGAATAGAAAAATTTGTTAGCCATTTTTGGATAAAAAAATAAAGCTGGATCTATACCTAATTTTTAAAGCTAAAATTTTATGCCAGTTAAAGACATGTATAAAAAAATAAAACAAATATTCTTATAAAAATAGGTAGGAAATTTATTTATAAGATTAGAATTTGCAACTAGTATACCAGGTAATCAATCCCTTAGGAACTATAAAACACTAATCCACATTATCAGACTCATGAACACCAGCATAGAATTAAATGATAAACTGCAAATAATATTTGTTACTAATGATAAATGATTGACAGATGTTATTATAATTCAAGAAGAAAAGAGTAGCCTGATGTGGTGGCATACCTGTGATCCCAAGTACTTGGGAAACCAAGACAGGAGGATTGGGTGTTAAAGCACAGTCTTTAACAATTTAGTAAACCCTGTGTTAAAACAAAAAATAAAAGAGAGGGGGTATATAGTTCAGTGACAAAGTACCCTGGGTTCAGTCCTCAGTACCAGGGAGTTAAAAAAAAAAAAAAAGTTTAGAAGAAAAAGGAACATAAGAAAAACTCTAGTCTAACTTTGCAAATGTATTTAAAACAGTCGTTCATTTCTGTAATGTGATCATTTTTATATGTGTTGGAAATTGGAGAATTATGTCAGTTTAATACAAAAATTACTTTGTGTCACATGAAATGTTTTTTCTAGGCAAAGGGAACCAGAATAATGGAGTGAGAAAGGAAGTTTAACTTTCAGAGGAAAGGAAATAGCTAAAGCTTGGTGGCTGCATTGCTGGCATGAATATTTTTGCTCTGTTTGGAGAACATTAAATATGAGTGCTTATACTTGGGTTTTTTCCCCCAGAGAATTGTATCTTTATTTTATGTGACTCTCTACATCTGAATGACCACCTACTTAATAGCCTCAAGGCTTTACTTTTATGTTCACTGGTTGAGCACCTGTCAGCATTGTTTTGTTGTGCTTTATATGCTTGAGGCAGCCTCCAACCAAGTTGAGTACTTGTCTGTGCATTACAAATTACCTTCATGGGTACCATTTAATAGTTTTTGTCAGCCCTTTAGTGTCAGAGTTAAATAGTTTTTAAATAGCCCACCCCAATTGTTTTTCCCATGAGTCCTGTTTTTGGCATGTCATTTTGCAAAACTTGAATGTCTTTTATAAAACATTCCTTTAGAGTAAAACATACCTTTAGAATACATTTAAATAAACATTGGATCCTTGACCTTCCCTATCTCATCTAGTTACTTTTTTACTTTTTGTCCAAAGTTTAAAGCATCAAAAGCATTTGAGGGATTTAATTATTGCATGCCCTGACTATTTACTTTTTTGTAAATAGTTTTAGCCATTATGTTTTAGTAATAGTTGAATTTAAGATGTTTAGTGGGAATCTCTGAATGTTCCCATAGAATAAAATTGTATGAGACTGGCAGTTTATACACTGATACATAATTTATTACTAAAATCTTATTATAGCATATTTGCCCCCTCCCCATATATATGTGTGTGGGTATGTGCTTATGTAATGGGAAGGTGAACAAGATAAATACTATTGATAATTTTAGGCTGTAATTGGAATTTAGTTAATTGATACTTTATATCAGATACTTCATTATCAGTAACTATGCAGATTTTAGTTTTTATCATTTCTAGTACAAATTTGTGCCCAAAGTGAAAAGCATGTGAAAACTAGCAAAATCCTGGTATCCCTCAAAATAGGTGCTAAAATAAATACAACCCCAATAGATGTACTGATAAAAGCTAAAATAAAAAATTATTTATTATGGGAATTTAAAATATTATAAACAAATATTGATAGGACAGTGCATAAGTTTTTATTTTACCTGTCATTCAGCTTCAGTGATTTATCAAATCATGGCCAATCTTGTTTCATATACACCCTCATCCATTTTCCTATATTATTTAAAAACAAAAAGACATTTTAATGTACTTGAAAAATAAAGATAAGGTTTTCAATCATTGGCACTAGGATTACTACTTGGGGAGTTGTAGAGGAAGGGTTTTGATCAATAACGTTTAAGGGACAGCTACCAATACTATCCCGAATATATGTCTTGGAATTATTTGTAGTACCACTTAGTGTCTTGTTTATGATCAGATGTATTTATTATCAGCTGTTAAACATAGTCTCATTTCAGTAGTATATAAAATAAGTTATGTAGGTCACATATACATAACATATAAGTTTCTATAATAATCTCCATAGGTTAACAGATAAATATAGTAAGTTAATGCTGAAAATATTTATAGTTGCAAAATAGTTATATTTTTATAGTTGCAGAGTATATGTTTTTCAGAAAAATTTAAAAAGAATAGACTGGGTGTTTTTTTCAGTAAATTATAGTCAGTATAATAAGAAACTGTGGGTTAGGGACAAGTGCCCTTATGGAAGGAAAAAATTCAAAAACTTTTAAGCAGGAAAGTGCTTTTGAGACTTATAACCAAAGTATTTTTCCTTTAAATTTGTTGAGCTGTTGGACTAGAGATGCTAGTTTATCTTTGATCAGAACTAGGCATGGATCCATTGCTTCATGTAACTTGAATGGTAACTACTTCATCTTTGGCTTGGATCCTTGATTAAAACATAGCTTGGCTGCTGCTACAGCAGCAGCAGTTCCTTTAGCTGCTGTTTTTGTTGGAATGCACAGGGATGTTGTACTTTCCTATGCAATATTAGTATAAACATAATTCATTTGCTGCAGATAAGTGTTTTTTAATAGGATATGTATGATAATATCAGTGGGAAATATTGTGGTGGTTTAATAATATATTACGGTCAATGCTAAGACTGTTTTGTGTTGTATTAGTAGTGTTTATGTCAATAGAAAGAATCACAATATTAAGATGAACAGAGAACTATTTCATATCTATGTAGCCAAGTTTTAAAAAAGTCGATTTTATATTGGTAATAGAGTCAGTGGTAATTGGTCTTGTAATGATTTACACGATCATTTTAAGTTGAGTAAACAAGGTATTTTCTACATTCTCTGCTATTTTTGTTTTAAATGTAATCCAGTTTTGCTTTTAGATAAACTGAGCATATATGTTCGTTAATGCATTCCTTCTTTGTAAATATATTTCTTGTAAATGATATGGTTTAATTGCTATCAAATAGGAGTTCATAAAACACTAGACTTGAGGTTTAATTATTATGAGAGAAAACAGTTTTGGACAAAGTATTTGAAAATTGAAGCTCTCACTCTTGATAGATATGCCCCATTGTTTAGCTGGATTAGAGCTTATATCTCTGCATTTTTAGATTATATCATTCGGTGGTCTAGTGATACATTTTATATTTCTCTTGAAAGAGTTCAAGAAATTATATTTAAATACTAAGTGATGGCTTATTATTATTTTTTTTTAATGGCTAGCACTACTCAACTTAAAAATATTTAGAGATAAAAATGTAGCTATTTTACCTGGGTGTTGCAGGAATGATTGTTAGTCTTTTCATACTTTTATTTGTTTTTGGTACTGGGAAGTGAACCCCCAGGGGTTCTTAACTACTGAGCCAAATCCCAGCCCTATTTATTTTTTTAAATTTTGAAATAGGGTCTCACTAAGTTGCTTAGGGCCTTGCTAAGTTGCTGAGGCTGGCTTTGAACTTGCGATCCTTCTGCCTCAGCCTCCCAAGCCACTGAAATTAAAATTGTGTGCCACATACCAAGCTCATAATTTTGAGTTTAGAATCAAATTAGAGATAGGCACAGGATTTCATCAGCTAAAACTGTCAACTTTAGTACAGGTTGAATATCCCTTTTTTGAAAATCCAAAATCTGAAAGATTTGACTTGGTGTCACTGTGGTAAATTCCATACAAACTCATGTCACCAGTTGCAGTCAAAATGCAGGTTTTGTAAAAGTATAAAATTTTCTTAAGGAGACACACACACACACACACACACACACACACTTTATGAAACACAGGAGAATTTTTGTGTTTAGACTTAGGTCCCATTCCTGAGATGGTTCCTGGTATGTATATAAATATTCTAAAATACAAAAACTGAAAAATCAGAAACACTGCTTCCAAGCATTTCAAATAATGAGTTTCAACCTGGATTGATAAAATCTGTATCTAAAGCCAGATAGGCTTGTTCTGCACCCAACCCCTAGATTTACCTGCACTCAGTCATAGGCAATGCTATAAAGACACAGATTCTTCCTCAGAGGCAAGGCACTTTTAAAACATAATTTAGAAGAGAGCATGTATGTTCTGAGAATATCCTCATGTGAAAGAAGGAGTATCAGAGATTAACACATACAAGCATTTAATTCTTTTTTTGTAGTGTAATTATACAAGTCATTATATTTTCCGTAGGGAAATGAGTTATAATAGTAGAGAGAACTCATAATCCTAAACTCAAAGTTTTGTGGTTTCAAACTTTTTTGACTGATCCAATGTAAAAAAACACATGAGCTGAATCAAGTTTCATGAAATGTTGCTTGTACTCGGCACACTAATGTACCCTAATATTTTCTGTCTTAATTCATTAGATACAACACATGACCTTTTGAATTGAATTTATGTCACATAAATGGGATCAGTATAGTTAAACAAAAGTGGCTCAAGCAGATGTGTATTCCCAATCAAAACATGAGTCCTGGGAATTGGAGGTCCTTTTATTTGCTTATAAGATAACCTTTGTTCTATCTTCACTCTAGTCTGGCTATCTAATCTTTAAAGGATATGATATTATGCTTAACTTTAAAGATAGAAGTACTTATACCAGTATTGGTTAGAACATAAAATCTCAAATTTATTCTTTCTCCTCAATATTTCTCATCTATTGTGAAAGAAAAAAAAATACAGGATTACCTAAAGGACCATTCTTTTTCTCCAGATACTTAAAAAGGTTTTTTTTTGGATTTAGCCAGATCCCCAGGGAAGTGTATTCCTATACCAGTTTTCTACCCTTGTAGAATTTCTTAGGTGTTAAGCCACTAGACCACACTGGAAGAGTGTGTAACCAAATGTCACTCATTGCAGTTCATTAAGGATGTTGTTCATTCTTTGTGATCATCTTAAGAATCTTGACTTGAAGGAGAATTTGCTCTTTTGTGTTAGGAATACTGTTTTTCTTTCTTATCTGTTTTTGTGTGTGTGTGTGTGTGTGTGTGTGTTAGGGATACTGATTCATGTAATAGATCATGTTGCCCTTTTATATTGACAGCTATATAGTGAAAATTTTGAGCCTACATTTTCTTTGCTGACCTCATTATGCTGTCCCTCTCATCTCCCCCCAGTGAATTACTTTTCTATTAGCCCTAATTTTCTTGTATATGTAAAAAATTTTATATTCTATATGCTATTTCAAGTTTTTATAGAAATAAATATTTATAATTAGCTATTGTTAAAACTAAACTTTAAAAGCCAAATTAACTTGTTAGAATAGAAAAATAAGATTATATTATTATAAATTTGATAGTTTTTGTGATTTGGTTGTTTTTAAAAATTATATTAATCAACACTTATTGTTAAAAGTATGTTTAGCTTTATTTTACATAATTAAATTAACTTTATGCACTGTTGCTTTTAAAACAATATTTTTGGGTATTAATATAAAATGCATTTGGGGAATAAATAAACCTTGTAAATCCCTCAGATCTTTTTGGTATGAGGTTGACTACAAACTACCAAGTATTTGAATTAAAATGTTTTTAGTTATTTCAATCTAACAATGGCGATATATCATAAAGGATAAGTTTCATCAGTAGTATGTCAGCATTTTAATTACATAAAATCATATTCTATTTAGAGCTTTTTAATTTTTAATTTTCTTTTTTCATTTTTTTTTGTGCAGGGGCCATGCTAACATTCTCTGTATTGTTCCAATTTTAGTATATATACTGCTGAAGCAAGCACAGCTTTTGTATTTTTTAGACCAGTCTCAAAATTTCTGAAATAAATTTTCAAGTTTTGAGTTCAGTGTCACTTGCCATACAACTGTGTTTTTTTGTTTAGCTGAAATAAGTGTATCATGTTGGAGATACATTATAATTTTTGTTGAAAATATTATATTTGAAGGGAAAATTTAATTATTGTAAGTTGTTATTTAAGTGATTTATATACTTAGATCTCTTTATACATTATTAACATGTTTCAAAATATCTAAATGCCTTAAATTTTACATTTTAAATACTTAAAAAATGATCTAAACATTCTAAAAACTGAGAATTATTTAATGAAACAGGTTTAGTTGTAAAAATGTCTTAATAAAATATGAATTTTTCAGTTATAGAATTGAATAAAAATGTCAACCTTATTGTGAAATTTGGAATTAAAATTAATTCAAGAAATGGACAAGAGATAGTGACCATTTTAGTTAGAGAAAAGGTCTCTGATATTTCAAACATTGCCTAAAGTTAATATAAAATTTGTTTGTGATAAAACCATAAGACTCTGTTCATATTTCTGAACATGATATAGATAGCATGTTTAAATACAGAATTCTAGTGATCATTGTTAGTATATATTAAAAGCATGTTTTTGGAAAACTATAGTGTCAACCCTGTGCTACTTTATTAAATGTACACAATGTAACCTTTCTCAATGATTTAGGATTATTTCAAGGTAGAGGAATTTTAGATAATAATGAGAATTATTTCAAGTGGAATTATTTTGAAAGCCTCATCTTCCCTTTACCTCCATGTCCCTGGAATTTATCTTGAATAATTCTCCAATATTAATTTATGTTGTGTGTTACTTTCTCAACAGAATGATCATGTAGGTCAGTCATACTTCTGGTAAATAGTTGTTCAATGACTTCTCTAATCTATCTTTTAGTTTGGAATAATGTTTTTAAGTTCACATATAAAATAGCAATCTGTCTGTTTCCTATAAACATTAACAAAGTTTGCTAGAATCATCCCTGTTCTTAGAATGGAACAGAATTATACTTATAATATGCCCCTAAGTATCATCTATATTCAGTAAAATTTAACATTTTGATATATTCTTACAGGGTTCATGCTTGAACCAGATCCAGAGCATAGACCTGATATATTTCAAGTGTCCTATTTTGCATTTAAATTTGCCAAAAAGGATTGTCCGATCTCCAATATCAATGTAAGTAGTTTCTGAAGTAGGATATGAATTGAAAATACATTTTATCTATCATGTGTGGAGATACGTGTGTTTGTGTATGTGTGTGTATACACTTTGAGTACTTGTTTTATGACAAGTGATCTGCTACCGTGTTTGTGAGTATAGTTTTTGTATAAAGCCACATTTCTGAAACTATGTCCTGAGGTGTCCTGGAGAACTGCAGCAAACTCAAGAGGATATTTTGCATTTTCAAGGGAACACAATGACATTTGTCTGACATAGCACAGACTTCTTTTATCAAGTTGTTTAAGCTTAACCATTTAATAAACAGACACTAAGTGCTCTTTTAAAGACAAAAATTTGGGAAAGTTGGTTGTGAAAAGTAGATGCATGGTAAACGGAGAGACCTGAATTCAATTCTGTTGTTTTTTTGGGGAGGTTACCTAATATACATTTTTTTTCGTCTGTAAAGCAAGATAGTAATTACAAAGATTACAACTAATGTAAAACCTAGTGCTGAGTCCATGGAAAGAGCTTATATGGAAATAGCGCATATTGTTTGAAGTTTTATTCACTATGTGCACACTACATTAACTTCAGATAAATGATGTATGACAAGTCTCTGGTAATTTTAATAAGGTTGCTAGTTGTTACTGATTTTAAGCCGTTTTTAACTTTATAAAGAACATTCTGGCCTGATTTGCTTGTACATGTTTCCCTTATGTATAATTTAATCACCTATGAAGAAAAAATGAAGGAATGTGGTACCTTTCCTTTTTTGTTTTTTAAGGCCCTTAATGTATCAAATGTAATGTTTTCTATGTTGAAGCTGAAATCATGCAGTTCTAACATTCAATAAAGAAAATAGTTTTATTTGAAATTTTACTATGGAGTTTTAGCTCTCCATTCATCTAATATTTACTGATTTCTGTTGTGATCCAAACATGGGGCGTAAACACTAGTGAAGCCTTCTGTCTTCATTTTCTAGATCTTATGCTGAGTGTCATGAAAATTATCTGTAGTATTTGTAAACACTTTTTTACACTTATTTACTTCTTTTTCTTTTTTTAAAATTTTTTATTTATATATAACAGTGGAATGCATTATAATTCTTATTACATATATAGAGCACAACTTTTCATATCTCTGGTTGTATACATAGTGTATTCACACCAATTCGTGTCTTCATACATGTACTTTGAATAATAATGATCATCACATTCAACCATCATTAATTACCCCATGCCCCCTCCCTTCCCCTATATACTTCTTTTTCTGAAGTACAAAATAATCTTTGATTTATAATATTTGTAGTATAATCTTTATTTTTACCCAAATGACATTTGTATAACATGTAGTGATATTTGCAGATTATATCTGGGAAATATAATGTGGATAATTTGGGATGTGAAAATAAATGGTATCTCATACAAAGTATTTTGTGTTGTTTTGTTTTGTTTTTGAGATACTGGGGATTAAACCCAGGGCCTTAGCTGATAGGCAAGTTCTCTACCACTAAGCTACATCCCAGCCCTCACAAACAGCATAAGTTCAATAATATGTCCATAGCTTAAAAAACAAACTTGTTAAAATTAAAAACCAAAATGAAAATTTTTGTTTTTGTTTTTTTCTTTCAAGAACTCTTCTGTTCCTTCAGCTCTTCCTGAACCATTGACCGCTAGTGAAGCAGCTGCTAGAAAAAGCCAAACAAAAGCCAGGTAGGCAAAACTATGTTTGCTGAAATGAAAAAGGCATTTTGGTGGGGGTGGGGGAAGCTACAGTTCTTATTTAAATTTTAGCAAATGTCATTGATTAAATGTCATCCTCCCACAAAAAAAAAAAAGGGCGTGTTACTTATTGCATGTGGTGTAGATAACAAGTACAAAATAAGGCTTAAAATCTTATATCCAGGATTTGATATCGCTCTTACCTGAACTGTCCACTCTCATTAATAAATATGTGAATTTTTAACTGATGATGCTACGGTGGGTCTTTTTTGGGGGGATGGGTGGTGAGATCATTATCTTCATAACATGACAGTCCTAATTTAGGACATTTTATGTTTCAAGTTGGTAGCTAATATGCTTTTTAAAATACTTAAATATAAAATTTATAGGCAACTAGAAAATATATGTATTTTGTAGAATTTATAGTGGGTGGTTATAACTGTTAACATGTTGTAAGACTGTTAAAGTATTATGTTTTGAAATGTATTTTTAAATTGTTTACTGCATTTATAAGTTTAAAATATATTGTGTAGATTAAGAGCTGAAACTGTTAGTGATGATATTTTCTCTGCTTTTTATTTTAACTTAAAAGTTAATAAGCAGGACTCTTAGGTTATCAGACAGGTATAATATTGCATTTGGGGAGTTTTCTTAGTCATAGCTTTTTGTATTGTTCTCACTTAGTTAAATTATTTGACATAAAATACAAAAATATATTTGTTAAATATCCTTTACATAAAAGGCATAGATATTGGAAATGTAAAGAAAAATAAGCAGTTTTTATTTCCAAGAATTTCTAATTGTAAACAGTTAGTTGTAAACTGATGGATAGCAGAACATTCTGAGAGTAGGGAGGAAGGGAAAGACTGGGAGCTGGGAGAATAAGAGCACAAAAGGAATGCTTTCCCTGGGGGTGGGCCTTTCCTTGAAGAATGAGTAGTCAGTCACCTGAAGGGGTGAGAGTGCAAATAAAACAGACAACTGAGGCTAGAAGAATGGCTCTTATGACACTACAAGGATGGAGAATAAGAGAACAGATTCAGGAGTGGTGGGGAATGAATGCATTGGTAGGTAAATGTCAGTCATAAGCAACTTTGTTTATATGTCATGGCTGAGAATTTTGGATTTTGGCCTTTCATCCTCCAGTCAACTCTGTTGTTTGGCACTTGGTTGTAAGATAGGTTGTGTGATTTGTTACTTAGAAATGTCAAAGTATCATTCATGAATGGCTTTTTTTTTTTTTTTTTTAAATATGGCACCCTAAAAATATATTCACTCATTTGAATTTCAAAATATTCTCTGGAGGGAGATGAAGGAATGAATATAGCTAATTCATAGAAATCCAGTATGACCACCAGTCTGTCTTATCTATAATGTAGCTTTAATGAGCAGCCGTTGTTATAGTTGAGTGGTAATTATGAATTAAGACTGGTCAGTTGGATTTTATTGTCACTTTAAAAATTTATTAATAATTAAGAAAATATCAATAATTAAATCCTTAGGAAGGTAGGTACAAATTTTTAAAGAAACGAGTCAAATGAAGAGTGATGATTTGAATATCTTTTTGTTATGACATAAAAGTTATAGCTATATTACAAGCAAATGAAATAATGCCATTAAAATGTGTAGTATTTAACCTGTTTTAAACATTATGCAATGTATACACATATTGAAATGTAACTTGGTAATCCATTAAAATATATTTTTATGTTTATATATCATTTAAAAATTGCTATGTTTTTTATAGTATGGTGAATCTGTTCATTATACATATCAAAATATAAGGTTCATTGGTGCTTATTGGTCATTAAGATAAATTTACTCTTAATGAAAAACTTAAAATCTAAAGTATACAAAGCTTAATATTAAAATTTAGATTTTTTTTTACGTAAACGTCATATTTTGGGGAGAGGAATCTTAATTTTATTTTTGCTGAGGTTTTAAATGCTAGGCAAGTGCTCTAACAATGAACTACATTCCCAGCCCAGGGAAAAGAATCTTTAAATAAGCTTTTATAGGTGTTAGTAGCCATCTGCCCTGTCTTTAGTCTGTGACCCTCTTTGCTTTACTTCTCAGAAGCTCCCTTCTGCCTCCCCAAACTTGGCATGTGCTCTTGGGACTGCTAAACATATAAAAGTCATATGACATGTATACCTCAAAGATGGAAATGCTTCCTCTCTCGGCAGATGGAAACATTGAAGCAGGAAAGAGAGTCTGCTTTTGGAAGATTGTTCAGGTGATAGTGAGGAAGAAAGAAAAGAAGGGAAGCAGAGGAAACAGCACTGTGACTGTTGTAATAGTACAAGTGAGTCAGTGTAGCAGGGGCAGTGCAGTAATTACTTTCTTTTTTTGTGTGTCTTCATTTTGACTAATTTGCTTTGGCATTTTCTTCCTATTCACACAGAATGCTATTTCTTTTTCAGAGTTTGATAAGATAAAATTTATTTTAAAAATTTAATCTCTAATTCCTACTTGAAGTCATTTTTAGTCAAATTAAAGGTGGAATTATCCTTTATGCAACTCTTGGCAGTACTGTTTTCGCATTGATCACTTTCACTGTCTTATATTTTGTTGTGTTTTCACCAACATATAACATACCTTTCTAAGTGTTTTGCTGAATATTGGTCATTTATTTTATTGATAAAATAAATTGTGAGACATTAGATTGTAGAAATAATTCAGACTATTAATAAGCTTTTCAGAGGTTCTACCATGCTTTATTTGTGTTACGCCTCTCTAAAGAGTGGTTTAGATCAGGAATATGGCAAACTCAAGTTTGGTCTACATTACTCACTTAAGAAATAAATGGAGAGTTAGACAGAAAGATTATGTATTTTTCCAAAATTTCTTGAGATTAGGGAGTGTAAGATTGATTTTAGTGTTAAATCCCATAATTTGAACTCATAAGTATTTCATTATAAAAATGACATATAATTGATTATATGTAAAAATGATCTTTTATTACCTTGGTTCAGTTTTCATATGACACGTATCATACCCATCCCTTCTAATTAAACTAAGTGTTATTTTTAGAAGATAGCACAAATATAATACATTTCTATAGTTTTCCAAATTTTTGATTCAATTTTATTTTCTTTGCTCTTGGAAAGATAGCTGTTAACAGGGCTCCCTCTTGTGGTATGTAGAGATATTAGGAAATAGCTGTAACTTGTGCAGTTGTAGATTGGGTTTCTTCAACTGCAGTAACTCTGTGCTTTCATGTGTAGTTAGAATTTTTAAGTATTAAATTACTTAAAACGTGTTAAAGAATTTAGTACAGATATTTTATGGAAAATCCTGTTGGAAAGAGAATATCTGGCCTTATTAAAATGTTTTTGAGTTTTTATACTGAATTTTTAGAAAACAAAGTTGATAATCATATAAATAAAGATTTTACTTGACTTTTTCAAGGAAAAAAAGTAAATGTCTGTCTTCTCATATCTATTGTCTCTTGTTTTCAAAATTGTGCTTACCTCTTGTCCACCCACATCTGAAGAACTAAACTAACTCCTAGAAGCAAAAGTTTTATATAGTTTCCATTTAGAGTTATAAGTAAAGCAAACTTGAAGATTAAAGAAGTTGAATGTGAGCAGGGTCTCCACTTGTTGGAAGTGTTGGCTTCTTTTGTTTTATATGCTCTAGGGTGTAGTCTTTTCTTTCTTACCCTTGAGTCCAGGCTAGGGAAGATTATTTCTTGTTTCTCTTCAAAGAGTTGGCTCGTGATTTTGTCAAAAACATTATAAGAAGGTTTCTGTTTTGTTTTCCTTTCAATCTCATTTCATCTCCTTAACAGTAATCTTTGGGAGTGTACTCCTTCTGCCAGTTTCAGCTGCAGACCTTGATGGTAGTGTACTATTTTCTTTATTTACTTTCCTGTCTTCACTAAAAACGTAGTCTTTGGGAGTTAGATTTAGGAAGAAGCCAAGAGGACTGACATGATCATCTGTAATAATTAAATGCATCTGCTGAAGTAGATACTTTACAGAAAAAAATAGTAAGAAATAAGCCCAATATTTGTAATAAAATGTGTTCTTCTATTTTAGAATAACAGATATCATTGGACCAACAGAAACCTCAATTGCACCAAGACAAAGACCAAAGGCCAACTCTACTACTGCCACTCCCAGTGTACTGACCATTCAAAGTTCAGCAACCCCTGTTAAAGTCCCTGCTCCTGGTGAATTTGGTAACCACAGACCAAAAGGTAATGCAGCTTTCATAGTCAATGGAAATAAACCTTAGATGGTTTGATTTTCAAGAGGCATAAATTACCAGTAAAAAAGTAGATAATGATACTTCAAAAAACTTTGTGCTGATATCTAATAGACTCAATTACTTTTCTTAAGGTTTTCTGAAGGCAAAGAAAAGTTACTGACAATGTAAAAGTATAATCTGAAAAGCTCAAAATTTTCCTTGATTCTAATACAAACTCTTATCCCTAGAGATAGGTTTGGCATTGATAATAAAGTTCAAGAGTATAGGGAGTTCTGTGTTGTATTGGAAAGGAGGTGGTTGAATCTCTGGTCTTAGAAAGCTATGTATCTTTCTTTGCTTTGAATTTAGAGCCTTGGTGAAGGAACCATGTGCACATTGCAACATAAGAACTGGTATTTTAGTTTGATTTTCAGAATTGTTTTTCTAATCTAAAACATCTCCTAAGTATTTTGGTAGTGTGGTACTTAAAACAGTTTTTCTCACTAAGGAAATATTCCTGACTGATGAAGTACATTTAATCTTAATCTCTCAAGGGTCTGGGGATATAAAGAAGACTTATCTCAAAGATAACTCCAGTTTACACTTCCATTTTATAACAAGCTTGTGTTTTGTTTTTAAATGTTAAATGTTTTCATTTAGAATACTCTCAATGGTTCAGAGCCTGAATTTTGAATGAATCTATGTTGAGTCTTATTTCTCTCATTTTCTTTAGTAATATATCTTATAAAAATACTAGTATTTATAGGATTATTAGAAGGCTTAAATGACTGGTTAATGTAATGCCTGGTATAGAATATGCCCTTAAGAAATATTAATCATTAGACACTCTTATTACTAGTAAGTCAAATATATGGTGAGGGAAGATAATGTTTATTTTTATATTACCTGGCATATTGCTACATATCTATGTGGTAATCAGGTACACCAATTAGAGTGGTGTTCTATGGGAAAGGGAAGAAATGTTCATTCACATTTCACCATTTCTTAGCCTCACTATTGTTCTCTTGTGTAAAATGAGGACAGCAACTATTGTTCCTATTCTGAGGAGTAAATAGAAGGTGTATGTTATGTAGAAAAATTCTATCTCAATAAGCATTATTGATCTTTTCCCTACTGTTTTGGTTTGGAGACCTTATTAGTTTTATTTATCACATATCAGAGTTCCCTGGCAAAAGGCCAACTAGAAACACATTTGTGCTTGAACAAGTCAGATTTCTTTCTTACAAATTACTGGGAACTGTGAGGTAGTATTTGAAAAAACATTTTCAGAATTTGGACTTGTTTTGGATAATTTTGGGGAGGAGTTAAGGAAGTGGGACATCTTTGGATTCTATCCAGAAGCCTGGGCATGATATGGTTTAGGTATCAAATCTTATCCTGAAGGAGAGAAGCTAAAGCCTCAATTGGTTACAGAGTAGCAGTCAAATGAGGCAAGATAGAGGGACCTTGGGTTATTTTTGTGGTTTGGACAAAGTTCATGATTCTGTTTGTGTTCAGATATGAATATAGAGTGGTTTTGTGTCTTGATCTTTCCTAGACACAGAGTAGTAACCTTATCTGATGTTAAGTGTTTTATGAAATAAACCAACATATAAGCACTAAGACCCAGCTGTGAGGGCCAGGCCTGTTCCTGATATAAGGAGCTACATTTCTCTTATATTTGCTTCCAGCTTAAGTTGGAAAAATTATACTTTTTACTCTCCAATATATGCTCCTTTTTTAAATATTTATAATATACATTTTTTCATCATTAAACTTGTTTATTTTGTGCTTTTTTATTTATATATAACAGAATGTATTACAATTCTTATTACATATATAGAGCACAATTTTTCATATCTCTGGTTGTATAACAGTATATCCACACCAATTCGTGTCTTTATACATGTACTTAGGATAATAATGATCATTACATTCCACCATCATTTATAACCCCATGCTTCCCCTCTTCCCCTCCAACCCCTCTGTCCTATCTAGAGCTCGTCTATTCCTCCCATGCTCCCTCTACTTATCCCACTATGAATCAGCCTCCTTATATAAAAAACAAAACAAAACAAAAAAAACATTTGGCATTTGGTTTTTGGGGATTGGCTAACTTCACTTAGCATTATCTTCTCTAACTCCATCCATTTACCTGCAAATGCCATGATTTTATTCTCTTTTATTGCATTTTTAATGGCAGGCACAATCATTTGAGATAGGACAAGAGAAAATGGCTCAGTAGAGTTTTAGTATGAGCACAAGGAATGAGAAGCTCAAGATGAAAACTGAGGAAGTAGAAATGGGTCCCTCAAACATAAAAATCATGGTATATGCTATAGTTTTAATGTCCCCTCCCAAACTCATGTTAAACTCATGCTCCTTTTTAACATTTCCTTCTCCTCTGGAAATCGTATAGAAAGAAACACATATAAGAAAAGAAAGTAAAAAAGTATGTTTTCTCTTAAAATATGCAAATAATACAGAAATATTCAGAGGAAAATATAATTCTCCTTTTTTAAACTTAGAGCATATAGTTGTACATAATAGTTGGGTTCATTTTGACAAAAACATAAATGCAAGGAATTTGATTTCAGTCTCCATTCCCCCCACTTTTCCTCCCGTCCTTCTTCTATTTTTTTCTACTCTACTGATCTTCCTTTGTTCCTTTATTTATTTAGTTTATTTTATATGTGTGTGTGTGTGTGGGTGGGTGGGTGTGGGTGTGTATATACATATGTGTATATATATATATATATACACACACACACATACATACATACATACATATACAAAGGGGAAATTCCCTTTGGTACATTTGTGTATTCATATAACATGATTTTATCAAATTCATTGCATATTTCCTTTGCTTTCCCATCCTTCCTCCTTCCCTCTTGTCCTCCCTTCTACCCCACTGATCTTCCCTATGTATCTATGATATTATTTCTTCCCCCCTCACCTTCTTTAGCTCTGGTTTCCACTTATTAGAGGAAACGTTTGGCTTGTGATTTTCTGAAATGTAACTTATTTCACTTAGCATGATGTCCTCCATTTCCATCTGTTTATCAGCAAATGCAATTAATTCATTCTTTATGGCTGAGGAAAACTCCATTGTGTATACTATACCACATTCTCTTGATCAATATTCATTTATTCAAGGGAATCTGGATTGATTCCTTAATTTGGCTCTTGTGAATCTGGACTGATTCCTTAATTTGGCTGCTATAAACATCGATGTGGCTGTATCACTATAGTTAGTATGTTGACTTTAGTTCTTTTGAGTAAATGCCAAGGAGTGGGATAGCTGGGTCTTATGGTAATTCTTTTCCTACTAATTTTGAGGAATCTCCATACCACTTTCCAGAGTGTTTACATTAATTTGCAGTACTACCAACAATGTATCAGTGTTTTCTCTCACATCCTTGCCTGTTTTCTTGATAATTGCCATTATATTATGTAAGTCTCCTTTTTTTCTTCCCAGAGCTAACCAGAGTAGTTCAGTGTGCATTCTCTTATGTGATATATATTGATACAAGTAATTTATGTTGTCATTGACTTCAGTGAATTCATACCATATACATTTCTCTGGCAAGTTGATTTTTTCTTCTTAATATATTTTGGAAAGCTTCTTAGCTCATCATTGCATAAAGAATTACCAAGTAATTCTTAATAGGTATGTGATATTTTATACCATGAATGCTTTATACCATGATGGCTTGTATAACCATTTCCGTTATTTCCTATACTTTCTGTTACTAATAGTGTTGCAGTGAATATCCTTACATCCCATTCTTTAATGACATTAGGACATTTCTCTAAGGAAGGTGTTAGGAAGTTTTTTTTTTTTTTCAATTTTGTTTATATACTTCTAAATTGCCATCCAAAAAACTCCAGAAATTTACACTGATATCAACAGTGTCAGTCTCATTCCTATTCTTGCCAGTGCTTAATGATAGAAGTTTTTAAAAATGTTGTCTTATTGGTAGGTAAAACATTTTTATTGTATTTTAATATTCCTGATTGATAGTACACTTTCATCTGTTCATGTTTTTCTTCTATGAATTAACTGTTCCAATTTTCCATGAGATTGTTTTGTTTTTATTGCTCTGAATATTTATTTTTATTTTGAACATTAAGTCTTTGACTTTTTGCCAAATACATTATAAATCTTTTCTTCCATTTTTGCCATTCATCTTTAGATTTGTGAATATACATTGAGACATAGGAAAAACAAAATTTTACAAGGTCAGTTTTACACTTTTCATTTTTCTGCATTTTGTAATGTATTTCAAAGAAATTTTTTCCATTTTTTTTTAAGTGCTGATACTTTTTTGTTGTTGTTGTTAATAGTGGTGTTTGTTTTCTGCAGTTAGCTTTTCAGTCTTCCTGGAATTTATTTTAGGGTATAGCATGGAGAAAGGACTATGTTGAGTTTTTTTTTTTCAGTTTTCTGTAGTGCCATTTATTAATTAGTACAGTATTCTATATTCTTTCTATTCTTTCTCTCCTGATTTGAAATGCCACATTCATCATAATCTAACTTTCCATATTGTTTCCTTTCCCTCTATACTGTACTATCAGTGTAACCAGTACCCCGGTAGAGTAGAATCCTGCTTGGAGGTACAAGCCATCTGGGAAAATAAAAAGTCTGAAATAATCAGCAAGAAATGAAGACAAAACCAGAAGTTAGATTTAAAACGGAGGCACCTGATGAGTCTTCCAGCCCTGATAGGAACTGGAACTGAACAACTGAAAAAGGCCCCAATTCTTTATTTAAGGGGGGAAGTACATCAAAGGCAGGGATAAGGTTTCAATGTGGCAGGGATCTTGCAGTCAACAGGTTGTTTGGTGCTTGGTAGACTACGCCCATTGGTAGTAGTGCTCTAAGCTAAATCAGGGCACCAGTGTGATCTGGGAAATTTCATCCAGGAGTTCCTAGAAAAACAGCTTCCCTGCCTTAATGGCTCAAATAATATCCATAGTTCATACAGGGCTCTCAACACTGTATCA